GAAAACTGTTAATTAAAAAATGGAATATTTAAATTAAATTATGATTATTAAATAACGAACTCTTAATTCTACACCGATGCACTAGAATTTAATTCGTCGCTATACTCAAATATGCAATTACAATTCATGTAAAGTTATGAAAGATATATAATTAAATAATTTTATTTAAGTTGACAAAATTGAATTAAAAATTTAAGAAAAAATTTCTCGAAAAGAATTTTCTAATCAATTGCTTTCTAAAAAAATTTAATTATAAAATCTCTATAAATAATAATTTTTCTTCAATTAAAAAAAAATATTTAATTTAAAAAATTAACACCGGATATTTAAAAAAAGGTAATATCTAGGGGTGTGCGAATATCATTCGAATCGAATCGAATCGAATATTGATATTCGATTCGAAATTCGAACCGAATAATTCGAATTTTCGAATTAATCAACATTCGACGAATAATTCGAAACTTTTCGAATTATTCGTAATTTTTCGAATTAATCGAATTTTTTCGAATTATTCGTCGAATTTCGAATAATTTGAAAATTCAAATTATTCGATTCGAATTTTGAATCGAATATTAATATTCGATTCGAAACGAATAATTCGTAAGTTCGAATTATTCGCACACCCCTAGTAATATCTTTTACATAATTTAAATATGAAATATTTTTAAAGTTATTTTATTATAACGATTGCAAAATATTACATAAAATTGGCAGTGTTCCGTGCAATCAACAACATTGACGCAGTATATCATATAAATTTTCATTACATCATCTAATAAATTGTTATTTATCACAACAATATACAATATAGCATATCCACACATTGTTACTAAAATCTCCAGGGACATAATCTCTGAAACGTCCTTACCAGTAGCATAACTACTAATAGAAATCAGAATAAAAAATAATAAATATTAATAACGAATAAAATGATAGTAATTTCTCTATCGAATGTTAATTATATGCAATTATAATCACATTAGAAAGAAGCTAATAGTAAATTACAATATCAAACCACTAATAATAACAATATTTATCAAATAATCCGTAAAACTCATACCAACAATACTTTCGCGGTAAAAGTGGGTATCCAGTACGATGATCGTCGTCTTTTGTTACGATCGATGCGTAATTTCTATCTGTGATGCTTCCATGAAGAAAGATTTCTCTACAGATCAATCACGCCTTGCGATCACGCGATCTATTTGTAGATTCTATCAAAACCGATCTACATAACTGTAACAATTAGATTATCTAGTCGAGTGTTATTTAAATAGTATTTAAATAACCGCATTGATTATTGATTCCGGCATCAATCCTTCCAATAAACGGTGAAAGTTATTTTTCTTCCTCGACTCATCTTCGCAATTAAGGTACAAACACCAATTAGCGACAGTGATCCAATTATTGACACCCTATTTGAAATCTTATTTAATGATCTATAATATTAGTAACAATCGTTCATTTATTAATGCAATTACTAATTTAAAATAATTTAGAATTAAAAAAATTAATAGTTGAAAAATATATGATCTATATTGTTGAGAGAAAATCTCTCTATCTCTAGATACATTATTAGGAAATTACCTTGTATCTTGTCAACTATTGACATTTTTAAAGATATAAGCTCATCCTGATGTTACACTCATCGAGACCTTTCATTTGAGTACCTACATCAATTTTTCATATATTTATATATATATCATATATATATGTATATATGAAAAATATATCAAAAATGCACGTGGGTACTCAAATGAAAGCTCTTGATGAGTGCAATATCAAAATGAGTTTATATGTTTAAAAACTTCAATAGTAAAAAAAGTACAGTGCAATTTAACAAAATTCATTATTTAATAAAGCAAAATTTTATTTACTTATAATTCACAAGTCACGGCAGTCAAATTAAAAATTATTTTTTAAAAAATAAATTAAGTATTAAAAATTAACAATATTAGATATTGACATTCAACTGAATGATTATTAATTACAAAATAATTGATGTCAATAATTGGAACACAAAATTTAAGTGTCAATAATTGGTGGTTTTACATTATAAATTCTTTATTCTAGATCTGAAAAACAATAAATTGCATTGTTAATTCCGTTGACACCTCCAACAGATCGGGAAGATATAATACCGCCAGCGAAAGTACTTCCTGTTGTACTTTGATTTTTAAAAATAATACATTACACGGTGTCTTAACTTTTAAACTTGGTCTTCTTCTTCATACAAACCATTAAATTTCTCATTTTTTCCCATCCTTTGGACGATTTTTTTTTTAAACTCATTTTGTACAAAGTATTATTAATTTCATTTCTTCTTTTGGGCCTTTTCTTCTTTTATGTACATTAATAATAATGCACCTTGGTTTTGTAATGAAAGACATGATAACAGAGTGTTAATTTACATTTTAACAAGAGAATAAGGGAGTCACGACAATCCAACACGCCGTGTCACGTTTCCATCGTGACGATTTTATTTATTCGCTGAATTATATTCACAAACCGTGAAGATTTTATTTTTTCATCGCCTGAAACACAGTTGTAACTTTAGTTGTCAATTGTTATAAAGAAATTTAAAACGAGGAAGTCAAAGTACGGTTATAAATATTGTGGTTATGGATTAAATATATATATATATATATATATATATATTTCTTTTTATTATTATCTGATTAAAAAGAGTATTTTTTTAATTAATTTTTTATTAAATAGTAATAAAATTTTTTTTATCAATTTTATCACTTAAAATTTTTTTAATAATAAAAATTAAAAATTTTTTTTATTTAATAGCAATAAAAAAATTTTTTAATTAATGTTTATTGATAAAATTTTAAATAAAAATTGAAAAAAAAAAACAATTTTTTACACAAAAATAAAATTTGTAAAAAAAAGAAACTATTAAAAACTATAAATTATAAATATATTTAAAAGTCCCGCAATTAAAGAAAATAAAAAAATTTTGAATTCTAAAAAAAATTTTCTCTAAAAGAACTCTTCATAAAACTTTTTATTCCAAGCAATAAAACCCCGGTCATAAATAATTACCAAGGTTTAGTTCTAAAAATTAAAATGGCCGAACAGGTTTATTTAAAATTCACAAATCACTAAGACTGGTACACTGGCGTTCTCTGCCCCCCGCATCTGCTTGGCATAAAGAATAAGTAAGCAAATAAAAATTATCCACGGTCATATAGTAATGGCTCACCAAACTACCCACTTTACGGATTAAGATTTGACAAATATAAAAGCTGTCCGGAAAAGATTATAATTTTTCATCCTGGCGACTAAAATTTGGCTTTACTTCTACAGTGGGTAAATATTGACTTGTAAAATAAAATGAGGAGTTAGGTTCTCTACTTAGCCTTCGAAAAATAAAATTTCACTTACCCGAAAGATGAGTATGACTCGAGAACATTTTTCCTCAGAATAATTACACCCAGTTGATGAATATGACAATGCACTTGCGTGAGGATAATACGTGAGTACTTGAAAAAATATTCTCATTTAATATACATCAATAAGACGTAATCTTTTGTTATTCAATCGGTAAGTCCTTTGATATTTATTTTTTTCTTCTTTTAAATTACTGAAGAAAAAAAACCTGCAATTAAAGGAATTACCGGCGCAATAACACCAGACAGGTTAATCACTGTTATTATCAATAGGCAACATGACTTTATTTGCCAATAGTATTTTTAAATAGGACAGAATAATTAATTTATCTTCATAAGACTGAAATCAGCTGACAACTGTCAATGTTTTTTTATAATAATTTAATTTAGAAACTAGCAACCTTTTTGTTAAATTGTACTGTACTTTCTTAAATATTGACTTTTTTGAAGATATAACCTCATCCTGATGTTATACTCATCAATAGCTTTCATTTGAGTACCCACATGCATTTTTTATATATTTTTCATATTTACATATATATATATAATATATATTTTAAAGATATAAGCCCATTCTGATGTTACACTCATCAAGAGCTTTCAGTTGAGTATCCACATGCATTTTCGATATATTTTTCATATATATAATATATATAAATATATGAAAAATTGATGTGGGTAGTCAAATGAAAGGTCTTGATGAGTGTAACATCGGGATGAGCTTATATCCTCAAAAATGTGAATAGTTCTCAAAATATTCTTAAAATATTCACACCTAGTTTTTAAATATTAACCTTTATTAAAAATACCATAAAATTTATTAATAAATTTCTCTAGATGACATTTCATCAATTTTTAACCTAAGAATTAATTTCCATAACTTTCTCTTCAATATAATATTGAATATATATGAAGAGATGCTGCTTAATATTCAAATGCAAATTGAAATTTATATTACATTAATTTCTACAATAAAATATTTTATTTTTGCTGATAGTTCAGTGTTTATAATAACAATAATTGATTATATAATTTTACTATTTAATTACGACATTAAAATTGACAATTTTTTTATTTTTTTTTTAATAAATTAGTTCCAAAAAATTATTCTAAAAAATTTTTTTTTTGCCATAATTTATTCGTTTAAATTATTAAATTTACTTAGCATTAATAATAAATAAATTTATAGAAAAAAAATGACAATTAAAACTTTGGAGAAAATAAAAAAGTTTATTTTTAAGACAATAAATTACAAAAGTAACTCTAAGAGATTATAATGATGATTTATAAGAATTTAAACGGGTTTTATATAATCCACATAGAACTAGGATAAATATATATGAAGCCGAGTTAAATAAATTTCACCCCAGGCACGTGTCGAATCGGTTCCAATTATCCTTGGGGTCAATCCACCTCCAGAGATTGCAACTACTCTCTAGCGCTTCGGGTGAAAGTGCAACAATGCAGAAAGTGCAGATGACTGGACTGTTTTACAAATATTTTCATCTTTTTTTTTTTTTTTATTCTAATAATATAACTGTTTTTCAACACTACATAACCTTTCTTGATTCATAGCTGATTTGTAAAGTTTATATTAAGACATTAATCGTAATCATCTTCTTCCTCGTAACCAATATATTGCAAACAGTCGTAGTCGGGATTTCTGTAATAAAAACAATATAAAAATTACACATTTAATTTAAATTAACAATTAAAATAAATAAACTAACCCACTGATGTTCTTGAAAGCTTCTTTGGAACATTCCGACCAAGTTGGGTCGCCGCTGTGAACATCCATCCCCCCCCCCCCCCATTATATGAGTGTTTCCACATTTTGATATGTCGTCCAGAGGAATTCCTAGTCTAAAAAATATATAAAAATTAATGATTTAATTAAATAATGAAATAAAATGAATAAAAACATTCGTACGTCATCGCGATTAGTTGTGCAGCGTTCAAAGCAAACTCGTGTTCTTTCCACACCAGCCCTCCACTTCTAGCGATCCAGTCATTATCAGATTCCTCTATATTCGTACACTTGGGCTGGTCAAAAATATAATTAAAAAAGGAACCGTCCATCGTGATCGCTGGATTTTTAAACTGGTATCTACAATTGAAGGCTATATCAGATAAAATTACAAGAAATTCATTGCTATTTTTTTTACTTTGACATGTAGACAAACATATCGTAGAATAACGCTTCAAAGTCGTGTGTGTTATTGCGGAACCAGGTCTCCATTGTCTCCAATGTCGACGGAACATCGTAGTACTCAATTAATTGACCGTTCGGTGTTTTATGAGTGAGCCGCGAGCTCCAAATCTCTCGCTAGAAATTTATTTTGTTAAAAAAGCTAGTTTATAAAACAAAGGCCATTCGGCAGCCGAAATGGAAGCAGATTTTTCAAATAAACAAAATTTATTTTTAATAAAATAATGTATAACTTAATTCATGAATTAAAAACAAAATTCAATAATAAAACTATTTTTAAAACTATTTAGAACAAATTTTGGAAAAAAAATATTATCTTGTGAAGAAAAAGTTTCTCAAATATTTATCAAACAATTGTAAAGATTTTGTAAGATTTGAATTATAATTGGCTAAATTTTTTAAAAGTTGCGCCATGAGGACGGGTGCAATAGTTAGATTTTTATAAAATCTAGTAATAATTAAAAATTGAACTTACATCCGGAACTACCACTCCACCAATAATAAATTTTATTTTAGGAGTTTCTAATTTTTCAAAAATTTCGTCAACTTCGTTCCACATAGTGATTATTTTTTGCATTGAGTGGTTTGAATATTGGTAATCCAGACCAACTACCAATATTGACAAGAAATATGTGTCTGAAAATTTATAATTTAGTAATTAAATCCGTAATTTTATGATTAAAATACTTACCATCGCGCTTGCTTGGGTCCAAATAATATTTGAAATCCTCGGATACTTCGAACACCTAAAAAAAATTTTTTTTATATTTTTTATGAATATATTAACAATTTTTTATTCACTTACATGTCTAGAAGCTTTAATTTTTTTTTATAAAATCAGCGCGTAAATGTTCTAAATAATACACTGGGAGTTTGTGGTCCAACGATCACGCTGCTTGATACCGATCCAATCTTAAAAAAAAAAAAATTCAACATTAGATTCTTTTACTACTTAATTAATTTAAAAAAAACTCACCATGTAGAAAAAGATGTACAGTGCTGATATTTTAAAAATTAAGTCTGTAAAATTAAAAAAAAAAAAATTAATTTTAATGAAAAATTATTGAATTTTTTAAATTAAAATAACACTTACTCATTGTACAAAAATAGGTGATTAAATCTGTTAATGTTTTGGTAATGGGAAAAAATTTTTAAGTTATGAAAAATTTACTTGAGCCAAAAAAAAAATTTATTAACTTAAGAATTAATTTATTAATTCAAATCAAAAAGATGAAATTCTTAAAAATAATTTACTTGATTAAATTTAATTTTTTTTTCTGTAAAAATTTTCTCTTTGTTCTCATCAATTGTAGAATAATAGAGAGATGGTACGGTGTACATATGTACATAAATATATTTTCTTTTCCCGATTAATAAATTATGCTTTCTATCCCACGCGAGGACATACGGGACCCCGTTTACTCTCCGAGTATGTTCTTACACTGTACAATCGCATCCGCGTTACTTAAACGTGACTACAACACTATGGTGTATGGTGTATGATAATAATAACAATAACATAATAATATTATCCACTATAAATACACCAGTTATCTTAATACTTTTCTCCGACACCTCATTTACTTTTGTACCGTCTAAATTCCGTGAGAACTATTTTAATCACGCACGTTTATTTCATCCAATAATTCTTCATGTATTTCGTTGGATTAACTATCAATTTTATTTATCAACTGTTGATACTTTATTTATCTACCAAAGTTCAATTCCAAGTGTCAGGAAGGGGCTATTATTATGACGCATTTTTATTTTTATTCATCTTCCTGAATCATTTATGAAAAATCCAAAGTCTCAAGTCCAAAATCTGAAAAATAAAAATTAATTTATATTTTTTTAATTAAATAAAAAATATAAAATTCTTTTTAATTAATCTACATTATTAAGAGAATAAGAAAAATTTTATTGTGAAAAGAATTTTTATTTTAGCTAAAAAAAAAAAAATTATTGAAAATTTTCAACAAATTAATTTCTTCTCGAAAAAGTGTCAATTTTTTTTTTCAAAGAAATTTTTTCTTTAATGTATAGGTCAAAGTTAACTTGAAATAAATCGAATTATCGGAGTATAGGGTTAATGCAATTTCGAAATCTCTTCTCATATTTCAACCAGGTGAAAGTGCATCAACGGAAAGAATACTTACCGCAATTATTTGATAGCAAGAATTTAAAAATTCACAATAACTCACTAAAATATTTTAGAACTGTAAAAACAATCGCCCGCAGCGTTAATGAGAGATAGCTCATAAACCATAAAGGTATTATGAAATTTATTGCCGGCATTAAAGAAGTTTCCCGTTGCAAAAAGCTTCGTATGTTAATTCTAGAAACGCATCCGAGTTTTGTATATCTGATACATTAGATATGTATAATATATAATATTGTCATTTTGTCATACAATAACTACGGTCTAACGTTGTATGTGTAGTCCTTGATTACATTTACGTAACGTATAAAGACAAGTGTATTTGAAAAACCGGTTGCGTGAGCTATGCTGAGAAATCGGTTGTTCACTGTTGCTTAAATGAGGACAAGTTGTATTTTCGTTCTTAAATATCTACATAAACAATTGTTTCATTTTTTTTTTTAATTCATTTTTATGAATCATCGTAGTCCTGGTCTGACTTTATGGATTCCAGGGTCCACTTCAAACAGGAATATGATGAATTTCTGAAAAACAGAAAAAGGTTAAGAAAAGTTCAATGAACTTATGTATCTTATTAAGAGAGTAAGAAAAATTTTATGTCCATTGTCCAGGATAATCATATGATAAAATCGGTTTTTTTTAGTGAAAATCTCTGGACACATAACTGAGAAATGACATTGTATCTTGTAAAATATTGACATTTTTAAAGATATAAGCCCATCCCGATATTACACTCATCAAGACCTTTTATTTGAGTACCCACATCAATTTTTCATATATATATATATATATCATATATTTATATATATTATATATATCTATATTTGAAAAATATATAAAAAATGCATGTGGGTATTCAAATGAAAGCTCTTGATGAGTATAACATCGGGATGAGCTTAGATCTTTGAATACGTCAATATTTAAGAAATTAAAGTGCAATTTAACAAAAGTCATTATTTAATAAACCAGAATTTAATGATTATTTTTTAAAAATTTTGTTCCAAAAAATTGCATTCTTTATTTTTTGCTATAATTTATTAGTTTTCATAAATTATAGATGCAATTTTTAAAAAATTAATAAAATACCTTTCTATCTTCTGAAAAGCCGACAATGAACATCCAGACCAGGCAGAATCATAATTTCGGTCCCAATTGTCCATCACATAACCGCCTTCACATCCAACATCTTGATCATATGGAACTCCAAATCTGAATAATAAATTAATATTTTTTTTTAATTAAATTTATTAAAGCTAATAACAATTAAAAGCTTACCCGTCAGCAATAAAGTGTGCGCCGTAAATATTATTAATACCAAATTTGTCTCTATCATTATTATAATAAAAAATTCCTCCAGGAGGCCTAGTCGCTTCACTTATCTTATTATTCTTGTAATGACAGACAAATGGAGCTGTCATATAATTGTCATTAACATATCTTTGTCTGTCGTCATCATAATGCTTCAGCGGCGAACTATTTAAGCGGAACGATTATAAAATAACAGTTTACCAAGATAACTAAGTACACTTACAGTAATTTGGAGATCTAAATTAGCTTTCTCTTATTATTAATAATTGCTCAACCTCCAAATTAGTCACTGAACATTCTAGTGTTGATAATTTTTAAAAACTAACCTTGCCACGTACACAAATGCGTCGTATTTAATGTCTTCAAAGTTTCCTTCGTTGTCTTTCAACCATTTACTCACTTTGGACAAAGTCTCGTTACTGATGTAGTACTTTTCGCCGTTTGTTACATTTGGTTCAGGTAATATACCCTCGCGCTGCAATATGGTTATCTAGTTAGTAAATTGAAAGACTTAATTGGTAATTGTGGTTGTAATGAATAAAATACTTACCGTTGGATAAATCATTCCAGAAATAGCTAGTTTTATTTTTGGGTTTGTTAATTTTTTTAAATAATTATTATCCACATTTGTCCATAATTCCATCTGTAGCTCTTTGAAAGCCATCGGTTCTCGTTTTTTATACATATCATAGTCACATATTAATAATAAATTCAAAAAGTATGTTCCTATAAGAAGAAAATTTTATAGAAAAAATTTTTATTATTAATTAATTTTTATTAATACCTAAATGATTTGATTTGTTGCTGTACTTTTGGACAGTTGCTCGTGAAGCCATTAACTTGAAAAAAAAAAAAAAAAAAAAAAATAAATAACAATCACAATAATAAATAATTTTATTAAACTTACCCCAGTTTCGCGATCAATCTTCATAAATTTTCCATGAGTATATTCCAAATAATAAAATGGTATTTTTTCAGTTATAATTATACTTTCAGAATTTTCAATCTTATTTAATTCTCGCTAAAATTTATACAAATATTTAATTAATAACTTATACAATAATAATCATTAATAATTCATTACATACCTTAAATTTACGTTGTAACGAGTGTACAGAAATTAGATTTATTGTAATTAGTGCAATTATTAACACTACATATTTACCTGCTAAATAAACAAGATTATTAATTATTAAAAGGAACAAATCTTTTAAATAAATTAAACTAAGAAGCTACTTGCCCATTTTTTTAACTTCCCGCTAAGACAATTGAAATTTTTTTAATGTTAGTTCCATGTAATACAATGTCAAACTAAACAACAAAAAAACCCGAGATTAATTGCATTTGACAACGATTTAAAGCACTTAATTTTAAGTAATCCATTAGGAAAAAAGGTTAATTATCAATTTATAGTGCTCTATTAGTTAAAAAACTCGGGAAATTTTTATTGATAAAGTTATTAAATAAAAAACATTTAAAATTACTCTAATTTTTAATTTTCGCGCCTTTAATCCTTTTTAAATCCATTTAACAAAATGGCGACGGTCTACCAGCTGATGCTTCCAGTTTTAGCACAAAAATCCTTATAGTACTTAAACAAAAGCGAATTAAACCAAATTTTTCCGTAGAATCATCAATTTAATAATCTAGAACCTAAAAAACATAAAATCTAATAAATAAACGCATTATTTTAGAAGATATGGTCAATTTAAATTTCAGAAAAAGTTACCTGAGGATTGTAATAGCATAATGCATTAGTTTTCATATGGAAAGTGCGTAATTTAGCTGAAAAAAATGATAGTAATAGATAAAAAGGCTATAATAAAATAAAAAAGAATTTAAAATTACTATAATTTTAAATTTTGGCGCCGAAAATCTTTGTTAAATCCATTTAACAAAATGGCGACGTATCACCAGCTGATGCTTCCAGTTTTAGGACAAAAATTCTTATAGTACTTAAACGAAAGCGAATTAAACAAAACTTTTCAGTAGAATCATCAATTTAATGATCTAGAATCTAAAAAAACTAAAATCTAGTAAATAAATGGATTATTTTAAAAGATATCGTCAGTTTAATTTTCGGAAAAAGTGACTAGAGGATTTTAATAGCATAAAGCATTAGTTTTCGTGTGGAAAATGCGTAATTTAGCTGAAAAAAAAAACGATAGTAATAGATAAAAAGGCTATAATACTTATAAATCCATTAAAAATTTAGATTTTTAACGAGTAGGTAAATTGGAAACTAATGAAAGGTCGAGGAACAAAGCTGATAAGGTAAATATCAGGTATAGACAAAAAAAGGTAAATCTAGATGAATGTACAACAGGTAGTTTGAAAATGCCAAATGCGAGTGTATGTGCACTAACACTTGTTGAGTAAGTAGGGACAGGTTCAAAGAGAAAGGGCTTTAGGTGGGGGAGTAAACCACCACTGGGCACTGGAATACTCTAACTGGTAATGCATAGCTCCTCTCAGTATTGAAGTAAGTGTACCTGGTCATACCACGTTGCTTGTTGCTTGTTGCTTGTTGCTTGTTGCTTGTTGCTTGTTGCTTGTTGCTTCGTGTTGTGGATAAGTGAGAATAAGGACTGGATATTTTCGCTCAGTGCATCCATATCCAGTTCGCAGCATTCACTTCTATCCAACAAGTACTTGTGCTTACACTTATAAACCATCTTTACGTTCTCATTGCAAGTACTTCAACTTTATTATTCCGGGCAGTCACGATCCGATCTTAAACCGGTCTTGCCGTATAGTACAGATTGATCGTGCTCCATTCAAGTTTCGCTGATTCCTTAAATTATTGAGGGTATCAACGGAGTTATCATCTAAATTTTCGTCAAATTGGATTGTAATTACTTGTAATATAATGTGAAGTTCTTCCGCTGGGTGACTTTTGGATTTTAAGGGTGTTTTGAGCTTTTTAATTCGTTGGATTTATAAGTGTGGGAAAATGAGTGGTCAAAGTGTTGACGTTGTTTGGGAGCCTCCTCAGTTAAGTTCATTGGACTGTTGGGATTATTCTATCGAGTTGGCTTGCCTTCAAGGTCCAGAAGGTAAATTGCAATTTTTTTCAATAGAAAGAAATTTGAGGAAGAAATTTTGTAAAGTTTTATCTTTGTATAAAATTTCAGTTTTATTTTAGTTTTACCTCGTTGAATATTCATAAGACCAGTTATAACGATCTTTAATTATTAATTATTATGTTTATATAATTTATTATTTTTTTGCCTTGGGAAATAGCAAATTAAGGGGGATTGTCGTGTATGATTAGGCATTACATAAATTCTTCTTTTGAATTTATTATTCTTTTTTTTTCTGTTGGATTATTTCATAGGAATTTAGATTATTTAGATAAGAAAAAAAATGCGTTTTTTTTAATAATCTATAAGTTTATATTGCAGTAAGATGGAATATTAGGTTACTTTAGTTGTAGATGGACAAATCTGGGTTCAAATCTTGGGAATATTTTTTTTAATGAACAATTATTAAAGTAACAAGGTTTTATATTTTTTAATATAATAATAATTCTAGTCTTGAATTTGTGTCTTTTTAAAATTTTATTTCATTTTCACTGATAGTCAATTTATTATAAGTATTTAAGCTGTATTTGAAAATATCTCTAATAATTGAGAAATGACCTTGTATCTTTTGAAATATTGACATTTTTAAAGATATAAGCTCATCCTGACATTACACTCATCGAGCCCTTTCATTTATATACCTACATCAATTTTTCATATATTTTATATATTTATATATTATATATATATATATAAAATATATAAAAAATTGATGTGGGTACTCAAATGAAAGCTCTTGATGAGTGTAACATAAAGATGAGCTTATATTTTTTAAAAACGTCAATATTTAAGAAAGTACAGTATAATTTAACAAAAGTCATTATTTAATAATGCAAAATTTTATTTATAATTCACAAGTAACGGCAGTCACGTAGTGACTGCAAGGCTTCTAGTTATTATTATTTTCATAAAATAATATAAAATGATGCAACAAATAAAATTTCTAAGAAAAAACCGGAATGCGGTACGTTTTTTACATCATTGACATCGGAATCCAAGTAATAATTTTTTATTAATTGTGTTGCAGATCTTCAGTTAGCGGCAGAGCTGGGTAAAACACTTCTGGAACGTAACAAGGAACTTGAAACAAGCTTGAAAGCCCATCAGACGACGATTGACGAGCAGACTCAGGAAATCGAGGTGATTAACCTTGTTTACTTACAAACTCGTCGGGATTACTGCACCATCATATACTTTTGTTTTTCATTAAGTATAAGTGTATGAATAAATGGCGATGGTGTAAATGATGTAAATAAATTGCCAAGTTAAGTAAAGACTCGACGAGTGAGCGTGGACGTGTGATATATACATATAATAGTACGATATATAAGGCGATGAATTAACGTGGGAAGTTAACGAGGTGACTTTCAGTTTTGTTCGATCACTTTTCATTTTTTATTGAGCCATCAATTAAAACCGCCTACACGCTTCAGTTTTAGTTTGCTGAATTTTTTTTCAGGTATCCGAATCGCAAATCTCTGAATTACGAGGATCCAGAGCGTAACTTTCATTCAGGAAATTAAATTAATTACAGTGTTGTACACAATTGAGTGATGCCATCTAATCATGTGGTACCACTTCCGCGACTCACATCATTACATTCTTTAAGTTTTTATTTTTCTTTAATTAAACCTTCAATTTTTCTTCTTTTTTTTAAAAGTCGGTCAATTAATTTTTTTTTCTTCCAAATTTTAATTAAAAAAATTTATTTAATTATTTAATTATATATTGTATCAAAAAATAATAGCACTGAATAAAATTTTAATAAAAATTTTAGATAGATAATTAAAAAATGCTCTTGTATCTTGTGAACTATTGCCATTTTTAAAGATATAAGCTCATCCTGATGTTCCACTAATCAAGACCTTTCATTTGAGTACCCACATCGATTTTTTATATATTTTATATATTATATATATGTATATATTGTATATATGAAAAATATATCAAAAATGCATGTGGGTACTTAAATGAAAGCTCTCGACGAGTGTAACATCGAAATTAGTTTATATCTTTAAAAATGTCAATAATTAAAAAATGACCTTGTATTTTGTGAACTATTGATATTTTTAAAGATATAAGCTCATCCTAATGAACCACTCATCAAGACATTTCATTTGAATACCCACATCGATTTTTCATATATTTATATATATGAAAAATGAAAGCTACAAATGAAAGCTCTTGATGAGTGTAATATCAAGATGAGCTTATATCTTTATAAATGTCAATATTTAAGAAAGTACAGTGCAATTTAACAAAATTTATTTATTAAATTTTTTTTTTTCAGTATTTAAAAAAACAAAATGCGGCGCTGAGAGAAGTGACAGATTCAAGACTAAAAGTGTACGAACAATTAGAAGTAAGCATTCAAGATTTAGAACGTGCCAATCATAGACTCGTTGTCGAAAGCACAGCCAATAAAAAACTCGTCAAAAGGTATTAATTGTCTATTAATTAAATTCTTTATTATTTATCAATTAAAAAAAAATAAAAAGTGTAATTAATTAAATAATTTTTATTATTTTCCAGCCAATGTTTAACAATCGAAAATCTCGAGGCAAAATGCGAGGAATTGTCAAAGACAATCGACGAATTAAAGACGCAGCATGAGAACTACATCCGAAAGCTGCAGAGCAAGCAAAACAATGTTGCTAAAACCACCGAGGAGACGACCTGGACGAGCATTTCGAATAATGGCAGCATACACCAGGTAATTATAATTATTTATTGTTTTTAATGTGTCAAAATTTATTCTTGAATAAATTGTAAGTACCTGGATAACCGGGTTTTTTTGGAAAAAAAAAATTGATCATGATAATAATAATAATTGTCTCCTGGAACAGACAGCTGTAAAAAGTCCGTCCAAGACGTCTCCAGGTGATTTAAATGCGCGAACAAACGGCTCGGAGGGTGACGAGGTGAATGAGCTGCTGATTCAACTGCAGGAGACGCGGAACCAGCGAGCCAGAGAGCAGAAAAAAGTATCTGAGCTGCGGCAGCAGCTCGAGGGAATACTCAAAGATAATCGCGCACTCGAAGAGCAGCTTAATGAGTGGCGCAATAAGGCCCAGGATATGAAGAACTTGCAAGATGAAATTAATACCCTGGAAGAAGTCAGGTAATTATTTTTTATCTGTATAATTAAAAGAATAAAAAAAATGCTCTATTTCTAGATTCATAATTAAGAAATGACTTTGTATCTTGTGAACTATTGACATTTTTAAGGATATAAGCTCATCCCGATGTTACACTCAGCAAGACCTTTCATTTGAGTACCCACATCAATTTTTTATATATTTATATATATGTTATATATATATATATATGTATATATGAAATATATATAAAAAATGCATGTGGGTACTCAAATGAAAGCTCTTGATGTGTGTAATAACAGGATGAGCTTATTTCTTCAAAAATGTCAATAGTTAAGAAATTACAGTGCAATTTAATAAAATTAATTATATAATTAAACGAAATCTATTTAAATTAATTAAAATACTTTTTGTTTTAAGGCAAGGCAAGTTATGCGGCCGCTGCCTCCGAGGCTACGACGCGAGGCCTCACGACGAATTGTCGCTGATGCTCGACGCCGAGGAAGATGATGACATCAGTTTGGCAGAGTCTTACCTCAACAGCCAGCGGGACTCGGAAATTTTGGTCGAGGTACTTGACACTTTTTTTTTTATTCTTTTTTGCCAGGGAGCTGTTCGACAATTGTCCAATTTTTTAATATAATTTTTAGTACTAATTTTATATAATTATTTTGCCCTTTTTGCATTTATTGCTTGACTAGTTAATCCATGATTTATTTCTCCAGGCGACACCAACAAACAGTAAAAAATTAACAACACAAAACAATACCGACACCAGAACAATATTTAACCGGCTCTGGAATTTAGTCACTAAGATCAACACATTTGTTAGAAATTTATTGGATGTTCCCAGCCACGTCCATCGATATATTATTAGACTACTCACTAGCCCGTTCCAATTGCCGCTAATTATTCTCAACAATCTTATTTTTTATAATTTAAAAAAATTAACTTAGAAAAAAAATTATTTTTAATACTTTTTATAAATATTAACCAATTATTTAACATGCTCAAATTAATTTTAATTGCTTCAGGTTTTAATTAGCAGTAGTTAGTATTTTAATTTTTTTCTCGTAGTGTGTCTAGTCATATATTATTTTTATACATTTTTTTTTGTATAAATAAAATGTCTTAATATTAAAAATTTTTTTTATTGACTAATTTTTTTTTTAAATAAATTTATTAATTAATTTTCAGTAATTAAAACAAATAATTTTAATCGTTAATTAATTTTTAATAACAAAAATAATTTTTATTAATTAAAATCATTAATTTAAACGACTAATTAATTTTTAATAACTAAAATAATTAATTTTACCAATTGATTACTTTTTATTAATTAATTTTAATAATTTTTTTCTAGCAACTAATTAAAAAAAAAAAAAACTAATAAAAATTGTTAAAAAAAAAAAATTTTGTTTAGGACATTGACACACCGGATTCAAAAGAACAAATAAAACCAGACGCAAACCCGTACCGAGTACTAGTAGAAAAATACGAAGCTCTCCTAGAAGTCCAGCGCCAACCGGTAGCCCGAAAGAAGCCATCACCAACGCCCCCTTGCATGTCTCTGCAAGAAGAACTAGAAATGTCCGGGGACTTCAACAGCTTGCAAACTGCGCCGTCAGAGGCCGCCCCGGAACCAAAAACAAACGGGTTCCGGCGCTACCCTAAGAAGCCGTTCTCCGGAACACCAACTGACTTCTCCGAGGCGGAAACTTCATCCTCCGGATTCTCAGACGAGACCAGTAACAAAGAGACTCAAACAGACGGTAGGTTAGGTTCCTTGCTGTGTTCCATCGCGGACGGCGAGGACTGCAAGTTTAGCATCTACGATGACAACAGCCCGTTCGAGAGCAGGTTCCGTAAGACTCCGGAGTACCGTCAGCTGTTCAGTGAAATTTTCTGCATCCTGAAGCGCGCTGCAGAGGCTAAAGACGAGGGAGAGAAGCTCCCTCTGTTAGACAGCACCGTTTCTGCGTCTGCGCGTAGAGACGACCCTGCGCAGGAACAGGGGGAACTGACAGATGACACGCAGAGTGTTTTGTCCTCTGTTATCTCCTCGGTTGTTTCCGAGCCGGTGATTCGGGTTCACGCCTCCACGCCCGAGAAGGAGAACGAGAACCAGAAGAAGTTCCAGGAACCGCCCAGGAACCAGCGGCGCCACCACTTAGATTACCTCTCCATTCAAGTTCGCAAGAAGAACACTGCTAAGAAACACCACAGAAAGATTTTTAATGATTCCAATGAAATTATTCCAAGTTCCAGGAACCAGGTTCCTGGAACTCACAGCCCGGTTCCTGGAACCGGCAAGCCCAACCGCAGAATCAAGTTCCGCCCTCTTACTACTGCGGAACAGGATGGAACTCACTGGAACGGAAACACTATTCATGTGTTCGCTAGCAGGAACAAGGAAGCCAGGAACAATCACAGGTTCTGTTCCTCGAACAACGTTCCAAACAACGGTTCCTTGGAATTTAAGCCCAGTAGCGCGTCTGAAGAAGTTGCGAGGCTCAGACGCTTGGAGATGTCTTATGCTGAAGCTCTTCGCACGCCAAACAAATCCAAAGCAGCCAATTGTACTCGTAGATACTGAGCGACTTTGTCAAAATTTTTTTCTCGAGTGATTTTGTTTTTTAACCTACTTGGAAGGAACAAGATGACACTGGTTATTATCTCAGATTATACTGAGTGAAATCTTAAATAGTAGCTAGTATAATCCAGATTACAATGAGTATAATCTGAGATTATATCTACTATAATCTTGTTTTTTTTTTTGTGTAGCTTTTCAGTATTTTATATTCTGTAAATAATTATTTAAGTGTGAGTGGTAATTTATGCGTAGAATTATTAAAAAAATGTTTTTAAATTTTATATTGATTTTGACATTTTAAATGTGCCATGAATATTGATTGAGGATTTAGATATTTGAGAATGGGATATTTTGTGATGGTACTTGGGAGGGTACCGATAGTAGATATAGCTTTTGTATTGTATTGAATAACTAGTACTCGAATTAAAGCATTATTATTGCTATTAAAATTATTATTATGACTATATGATTATTATTTAATAAACAAGCTATAAATGAACAAGAAGTTTATTCAACACACAATTCTAGTAAATAAATTTATTACAACGTTTATGTAAAAAAATGTACCCTTGATTGGAGGCTTCCGAGTTAATAATTTATTTGGAAAGTTAATTATGGCAGTCGTCAAAAAGGGCGCGATGCACCGCGCCGAGACTTGGTTGTACGTAGCTAGTACTTCCTGATCTTCTTGATCTGAAAAATTATTTTATTAATTTTTTAAAATTATACTAGTAACCTCGCAGTCATTATGTGAATTATAAATAAATAAATATTTTGCTTTATTAAATAATGAATTTTGTTAAATTGCACTGTACTTTCTTTACTATTGAAGTTTTTAAAGATATAAGCTCATCCCGATGTTACACTCATCAAGAGCTTTCATTTGAGTATCCACATGCATTTTTGATATATTTTTCATATATACATATATATAAATATATAAAATATATGAAAATTGATGTGGGTACTCAAATGAAAGGTCTCGATGAGTGTAACATCAGGATGAGCTTATATCTTTAAAAATGTCAATAATTCTTAAGATACAAGATCATTTCTTAATTATGTATCTATAGATATTTTTTAATGCTTGAAAAAATAAAATTCTTAATTAAAAAATAATCAAAATAATAAAAAAAAAAAAAAAATAATAATTACTCAGAAAGAGGTCGTACAGCAGGAGCAGTTGGATTGTTCTTCGGCCTAGGATTCACCAGGAGGCACTTCATAGGATGACCATCGAGCTGGCGGTTGTGGTAAGTCTCCACCGCCTTGGTAGCATCCTTCAGGGTCTTGTAGATGACCTCCGCGGTGCCAGGTCGAACTAACCTCGAGACGAGGAGCTCCCCAACGTCCTCGAACAGCTCCTTGATGTCCTCCTGGGTGACATTGGCCTGGAGGTTGCTGACCACGATCCTGTAGCCAGTAGTAGGAGAGCTTTTGCTGCGAGAGTTCATCTCTTGCCTGGACTTCATGCTGTCCAGCCTGGATTTTACTCCCGGCTGCCTGGAGCTCCTGTAGTACTTGTCCTCATCATCCAGGTCCTCGTCGTCGATTATTGTCCGGGACTTGCTCTCGAAGCTCCAGTCATCGTCGTGGTAAGCGGGTTCTAGCTTCAGAAGAGATTGCGGCGCACGGGCTACTACTTTTAGCTGTCTAGGGCGGTCCAACTCCGCGGTTTTGCGCACAGACCTATTGACTGGCCGCGACGGGGCCAGTCTTGAAGTGTTGACGCTGTTTTTGTTCGACCAGTTGTTCACGTATGATGGATTATTCTTCGTTCCGAAGAGTGGAGGCGGCGGGGGTGGGGCTGCGTACTCGTTGCTGACTGTTCTTCTTAGAGGAACCTGAAAAATTTTATTGTTATAAAAAAAATTGTACATCTTACTTATTTTTTGTTAAATTGCACTGTACTTTTTTAAATATTGATGTTTTTAAAGATATAAGCTCATCCTGATGTTACACTCTTTAAGAGCTTCCATTTGAGTACCCACATGCATTTTTGATATATTTTTCATATATACATATATATATATATATAATATATATAAATATATGATATATATGAAAAATTGATGTGGGTACTCAAATGAAAGGTCTCAATGAGTATAATGTCGGGATGAGCTTATATCTTTAAAAATGTCAATAGTTCACAAGATACAAGGTCTTAATTATGTATCTAGAGATAGAGAATTTTCAAATGCAGCCGACTTATCATTCTCCGATTTTATCTTATAATTTGCATTAAATAATTTTTTTTTTATAAGATAAATATATTAAAAAAAAACTATTTCTTTATTTTTAATGATACTAATTAATTAAATTCCCCCAAAATAAAATAAAATTACCTGAAGATCCATAGAATAGTCATCCTGATACACCGGTTCCTCTTGATAATCCACAGGCGGATGATAATTGACAGTCCTACCACCACCGACTGGCATAGGTTGTCCCCCAAGATGATTCATCGGCATGACATGCCTGGGCCCATGTCCAGGACCAGGTCCAGCTCCAGGCAACGGGTACGGAGCCAAGTTCCCCAACAGCGGCGGAATTTTATTAGTACTCAGCTGCAACTTGCCATTTCTCCCCGACTTTCTTGAAATAGTCCCAAAAGAATTGCCGGGTTTCTTAAAACCGGAGCGCAATTTCTCTAATTTCAATCTCGCGTCCGATTGCTTGGCAATTTCTGCCAATTTATCTCTCGCGTCTGTCAGCTTCGCGCGGTTCTTCTGGATAATCTTCATCCTGGCGTCTGTCACCACCTCAGGACGTTTCGGTCGAGTGCTCACGGGGATGTTCTGTCGTTGACGACCTCTAGCCGGGCCATTGTGTACGCTAAAATATTTAATGAAAATTAAGTTTTTAATTTTTCTATTTATTTTTAATTAAATTAATAAAAAGAAATATTTTTAAAAAATTGCACTGCCAGTTTTTAAATTTTTTTACATATGACAATTTTTCTTTCAATTTTTTTGTAATGATTTTATCAATAAAAAAAAATTATAAAAATTTTTAGATGTCGGCTATAACTTAATTTTCAGTATTATAAATATTTAAGGTTAGTTTAATAAAATAATTTTATTATTTCATTTTTTAATTAAAAAAAATAAATTAAATAAACAATTTTTTTAAAAACTTACCCACGATTAGACTTAACAGGAGCTCGTGGTGATTTTTTCTTTTTAATAATATCATCGAGAGCCATATCGGCCATATTATTTACGGTTACTTGATATAAGGCTGTTGACAGGCGGTCAACTGTTGTTATTTAATTTTTTATTATTTTCACGCGGTAATTTTTATTAAACTCGCTACGGCAACATTGAAACTGTTAATTAAAGTTTATTAAAATGGAGTTTGCACTAACACTAGTTTAATTGCAAGTTTGCAAGGCGGAGGATTGATTAAATTAAAACTATATAATCAATGAGTAAATTATTTTATAAGTTTCTGTAGGCGGTCTGAGGAGTTAGTTTGAATTTTCGCCGCTAGGGCGCAGGTCAGAGAGCATGACGGGGGAGAAATAGAAAGAGTCATGCGCACAAAGTCACAAAATGGCTGACCGGCTGATGGAAAAGACGCGTTCTTTCGGGTATTCTTTGTATTTTTGAGTTTTAATTGTTATTTTTATTTATTTATTTGAATTTAGTATTAAAATCAGCTTTTAATTAATAATTACTTGATTTTATTTAACAAAAATAAACATTTTCTTGAAATTACGTTTAAAAATTGCATTTTTTTTAATTTCTAGAATTTTCTGTCATTTGTTATTTATTTTATTAAAAATATTTATAAAAAAATTAACGGAGCACATATTTAATAATTTTGAAAATTTTATAAAAAATATTTTTGGATTTTTTTTTATTAAAAGAATATTTTTTGATTTTTTAATAAAACAAATAAAAATTAATTTAGCAGATAATTAATCAATTTAATAATTTTTGTAAGAAATAAACTATGGCAAAAAAATTAGAAAAAAAAATTGAGGTAGAGATTTTAATAAAAATTAAAAATGTAATTGATTAAAAATAATTTTTTGCAAAAAATTTGTTTGTTAAAAGAAAAATTTTTGTCAAGTGACTCTGCTAACTTTAATGTCATTTACAAAAAATCATAAATATTTTTAGATGTCGGCTAACTTTATTTTTATTTATGGCTAAAAAAATAAATAAAAAATTTTGAGATCTATAAATTAAAAAAAATAAAAAATGCAATTTTTTACAATAATTTTTTTGAAAAAATCTTTTTGTTAAATAAAATTCAAAAAATATTATTAAAATCGTCAAGTATCTGCTAAATTAATTTTAATTAATTATTTATGTGTGTATTTAGTTTATAAAAATTGTGTTTTTTGTGTGAAAGTGGTTTATGTGTCAAGTCGTGAGTAAAAAGTGACAAATTGTTATTTTTTTAGTGATTTAATTTAAGAAAAAAATAATTATTTTAATTTTTAAGTGAAGTGAAGTGAAAATTGAATATTTTACAAGAAAAATTATTTTTTCAAGTGGATAATTGTAAGTATTATTTTTTTTATGATTTTTTAATAAAAAACAATATTTTAATTAAATAATTTATTTTTTTTTTTCAGAAAAACTTCAAGAGTTGCAGATCCGGTGAGTCAAAATTTAACTACCCAACTGTTACAACAATTTATTGTTATTTTTTTTCAATTTTATCTTTATTATTTTTAATTATTATAATTTCTATAATAAAAAACACAAGTATTTGTCATTTTTTTTGCAATTTTAAAAATTGCCGCCATTTTTACACTGAGCACCGCGCCATCTTTCTGTCATCAAACCTATTTCTACCACATGGCAATTGTTGGTCTTGTTGGTGTGGATTTAATAATTATATACACCAACCACGTTTTCAAAGTCTAAAAGTGAATTTTTAAACAAAACAATTTATTAATTATTAACAATAATAGTTAAAGTTAAGTTTTTTATTAAGTGATTTTTTATATTAGTTTTGCAATATAATAATCATGGTGGCGATTGGTAAAAAGAAGGTAAATATTTAATATTATTATTAAAGGTTATGTTTTATTATTAATATAATTTTTCAATTATTTAATTATCACATTATATTAAATACATACAATAAATATCAAATAATAATTTTTTGAAACTAAAGAAACTAAAATATTTAATTTGATAAATTTTTTAATATGTAAATAATTTTTTTTCTAAAAACGTGTAAATATAATTATCAATTTTATTTAAAAAAAATTTTTTTTTCCATTCTACCAAAAAATTTTTTAATTATACTAATATTTTTAATGATACTAAAATTGAGAGCCATAATAATTTTTAGAATTTCTTTTAACAAAAAAATTATGGTAAAAAGAATTTACTTAAAAAATTCAATCTTTATAAGCTCTAAAAAATTGTAAATGCAATTTTTGAAAATAATTTTCTAGACCTAGCTTATTAAAAAAAAAAGTCAAAAAATCACCAAGTATTAGCTAATATTAGTGTCATAAAAAATGGTCTATTTTTTATAAAATAAAAATTTAATATTTAAAAATAACAATACTAATTCCAAAATGCCTTGCAGTACCAATCAGGAGAAGGAGCGCAGTTCCTGACCCGAAAAGGAGCCTTAAAAAAGCTGCAACTGTCATTAAAAGACTTCAGAAAACTCTGCATCCTAAAAGGAATTTACCCACGCGAGCCAAGGAACCGCAAGCGCGCGCAAAAAGGCAAGTCAGGGATAAAAACTCTTTATCATGTGAAAGACATTCAATTCCTCCTTCACGAGCCAATAATTTGGAAGCTTCGAGAGTACAAAATATTCAGCCGGAAGGTAGGTCGTGCCAAAGCAATGAAAGATTTCGCGGCGATGAAGCGCTACTTAGCGAATCACCCGACTCTAAAATTAGACCACATCGTGAAGGAGCGTTACCCTACATTCATAGACGCTCTCCGTGACCTAGACGACTGTCTCACCCTCTGTTTCCTCTTCTCGACCTTTCCATCTCTGGCCCACATTCCCCGGGACCAATCTGTGCTCTGCCGCAAGCTAACCTCAGAGTTCATGCACGCAGTAATCGCCGGCAAGGCTCTGAGAAAGGTATTTGTGTCCATAAAGGGTTATTACTACCAAGCGGAAATCAAAGGCCAGACAATAACCTGGATCGTGCCTCACAATTTCTCCTTCGAGCCGCAATCTCGCGCTGAAGTTGACTTCAAGGTGATGTCTACCTTCGTGGAATTCTACATTGTCATGTTAGGGTTCGTTAATTTCCGTCTTTACCATTCGCTGAATCTGTTTTACCCACCGAAGCTAACAGTCTCGGGAATTGACAGCGAGAAGGTGCTAGTTGATGAGGAAGCTTACGTAGACGAGCGCGTCGCTGCTTTGAGCATCCCTTTAGTCCCCATGGACTCTTCCGTTGAGGTAGAAGAAGTTGCCGATGAGTTCCCCGTTACCGACCACGAAGACGCTGAAAAAATGCGCATTGAAGCCGAAAAGAAAAGGAATTTGAAGACTTTGTTTAAAGATATGAAGTTTTATATAAATCGCGAAGTCCCTAGGCAGGAATTGGTATTCTCTATCCTCGCTTTTGGCGGGAAAGTCTCTTGGGACAAGCTTTTGTTCGTCGGAGCTACCTATGATGAGAATGATGAAAGTATAACGCATCAGATTGTTGACAGACCTTTTATGGGAAAAAGATTCTTGTCCAGGTACTATGTACAGCCTCAGTGGGTCTTTGATTCTATTAATGCTATGGAGTTGTTACCGGTTGAGGAATACTTGATAGGCGCCATCTTGCCGCCGCACTTGTCGCCATTTAATAACCAGTTTGATCAGACTTATATTCCTCCGGAAGAAAGAGCCATGCGTGATCCTTCTTATAAGATGGCTAATTGGCAGGATGATGAGGAGGATGATGATGATGATGATGATGATGATGATGATGATGAGAAGGATGAGGAGGGAGATAAAAAAGAAGAAGAAGAGAAGGAAAGTGAGAAAGAAGATGTTATGGAAGAAGAACAAGATGATGAGGAGGATAAAGAGAAACTTAGGATGAAGAAGAAGCAGAAAATGCAAGTTAAACCTGGTGAAGTAGTCAAAGAAGATCCTTGGGCGAAAGCCAAGCAGGAAAAGCAAGAGTTCCGTCTAAGGGAAAAAATGATCCCGAGAAAACACAAAGGGCTCTACAAGAGCATGGTCGCAGGTCGTGAGAAGCGCGCTAAGGAAATATGGCTGCTGAAGAAGAAGCGGAGGATTCATGATGAAGAAGAGAAGAAAAGTAAGAAGAAAGCTAGGAAAGCGAAGAAAGCTTAGAGTTTAAACATTGTATGGTTTTTATTTTTGAGTATCAATAAAAAGATTTTTTTCTATATATAAAAAAAACAAGTTTTTATTACTCGACTGAGCAATTGTTACATTTAAGGTCTAGATGTATTACAATATTGTGAGATAAACTTTGTTTTATATATATTTATAGTAAGTGGGCAAAATAATTGAAATAAAATGTTAAGTTTATTCTCACAATTAATCTCGTACAGGTATACGTTGTTCCTTAATCCTAATTGAGATTACAATGGTATAAAGAATTGTAAAAATGTATATAATTATTTTTAATATTTATATTTATATACACTTCCATGAAAATATATAAACAATAAATATTTATATATTTTTATGCTAGTATATAAAGGTTTATTATTATTTATTTATATATTTATATATATATTTATATATATTTATTAATTAATTATTTATAATGACGCCAGCTCGCCGGAGAAGCGAATCATTGTTCGGTCCTCCGTGCGAGCCGCAATTTGAGCTTTGTCGCGCGCATATTTATTCATTTAATATTTATATTTTTAAAATTCATTTAGCTAATGCTTTGGAATGTTTTTTAGAGCCACGGTATGCGCTAGTTAAATTAGTTCCCAACTTCAAAAGTCCTACAAAAACTTATTAATGATTAAGTAATTAATTAATTAAAATAATTAAGACAAATTAAGTAGTGTTATTGTTAATGAGTAAGTAATAATTAAAAAAAAAAAAAATAATGTAAGACTCTCAAGGCATAAAAAAACAAAATTGCAAACTAGCGCCTACCGTGGCCCGATATCGAACCAATAATAAAATAACAATCCAATTAAATAGTTAAAAAAAAAAAATTTGAATTTACGCGCCAACCAGGCCATTAACTGCCTGGAGAATAAGTACCGCCATTTTGTCGACGGGTTAAATTAGTTATAAAATAATTACAAAAATCGTTATTTTCAATGATGTTTTATCACAATTTATATATTAAATCAATCGTTACTTTTTAGAATAATTTTAAGTTAAAAAAAATTTTTTTAATTGAAAAAACACTGGCGATAAGAAGGCACAATCGTTAACCTATTTTTAGCCTTCTATGATCGTAAAAAAATTTAAAAAATATTGCCATTATTATTTATCGTCGTTTTGGCACCACGAACTTCTCCCAATCGCTGTATTTGTTTCTCGTGTATATCGTTAATATTACAATATTAATAATATAAATTATCAATACGTATATTATACTAATATAAAGTAAATGTTTACATTTTGGCCACTCAGTTAACGATACCGTCGGATGGAGCACAATAGTCTGTATCTCTTATCGCGACGATACTGTGATATTGAGAATTATTCATTTCGTTTCGGATTCACTTTTATACAACACTCAATTCACACACGATATCTTCCTCTCGATCATATTCAGTTATCATTATCATTATTAATATTATTAATCATTAGTTTTAATAATAGCGGATAGTTTTAATAATTAAGCGAACTATCCGAAGGTGCTCATCTTCGTCGTCTCTTGGCAGTGGAAGTTGCGATCATTCTTCTGATCATTGGCTCTGGAGTGCATGTTTGAGGATTACATTCCATGTTTCCATCGCTTCCGCAACTGAAAATACAAATTTAATCATTACCAAAATCAAATCTGACCTTTGTGAAGAAACAATTGTTAATATCAAGTAGAACAATACTTACGTGCATTTGAGGCAAGGCCCAGAAGCCGACTGGATGGTTTCGCCGACGCGATACGCTTTTTTGTCAATAAGACATCCACTTCTTTTGGCCGCACCTTTGTAAGGATGCGACAGGAAGTGAGGTGGCAAGGTTGTCGTTGTCGTCGTGGTGGTCGTCGTGATGTTCAGCGAAGTTGCCATGGATACGTGGCACTCGTACCTGGGACAACAGAACCCGCTGATCGGTTCCTCGTGGCACCCAGGAATTGGTGGAGGACAGCTCTGCTGAAGACAGATTATGTCACTGCGGAAGCAGAAGCAGAAGTCGCAAGGATCGTCTCGAGGAATCTGCTGAGCTGAGACGTAGACCTTGCCGCCGAAACGACAGGTTCCTGGTCCGTAGACTGCTTGGTCATCTTCGTCGTAGTCTTCTTCGTCGGGGTTCAGGTAGCTGCCTGCGTTTACTGGGAAGTGGGGGTTGTCTTCGCCGGTCACGGTTTGTTCGGGGTAGTCGGGAGTTGGGGGCGCCAGTGAACTGGAGTGGTCTGGTTCTGGGGTTGAAGAAATTGGTTCTGGGACGTGTTGCTGGAGGACGTCGTGTTCGATGGGGCTCATTGGTTCCTGTTCTTGTTCTTGAGAACCTGGGAGGTAGGTCGGGTTTGGTATGGGTTGCTGAGGAATTTCTTCTTCTTGTCCGGTTGGTATTTGGTCAATCGAGTCTGGTTTCTGTTCCTGTTGTTGGTCTGTTGGTATTTGTTCTTCTGGTTTAGGTTCTACTGGAATTTGTTCTTCTGGTTTAGGTTCTACTGGAACTTGTTCTTCTGGTTTAGCTTCAACCGGAATTTGTTCCTCTGGTTTGGCTTCTACTGGAATTTGTTCTTCTGGTTTGGCTTCTACTGGAACTTGTTCCTCTGGTTTAGCTTCTGTTGATGGTTCTTCTGGCTTAGCTTCAACTGGAACCTGTTCCTCTGGTTTAGTTTCTACTGGAACTTGTTCTTCTGGTTTAGCTTCAACCGGAATTTGTTCTTCTGGTTTAGTTTCTTCCGTTGGTTCCTCTGGTTTAGCCTCAACTGGAATTTGTTCCTCTGGTTTAGGTTCTACTGGAACTTGTTCTTCTGGTTTAGTTTCTTCCGCTGGTTCCTCTGGTTTCGTTTCTTTTGTTGGTTTCTCTGGCTTAGCCTCAACTGGAATTTGTTCTTCTGGTTTAGGTTCTACTGGAACCTGTTCTTCTGGTTTGCCTTCATCTGTCGTTGGTTCTTCTGGTTTAGTTTCTACAGGAATTTGTTCTTCTGGTTTGCTTTCAGGCAATTTTTCAGGTTTTGGTTCCTCTTCAGGTTTAGCTTCAGGTTGTTCCGCAGGTTTATCATCTTCAGGCTTAACCTCAGGTTCTGCAGGCTTGTCTTCCTCAGGTTTACTTTCAGGTCCTACTCGTTTATCATCTGTTTCTTCCGTAGGTGTCACATCTTCAGGCTTAATCTCAGGTTCACTGGGCTTTTCTTCAGGAAGTTCTGTCGGTTGTTGTTCAGGTTTGGCCACAGGCTCTTCAGGCTTAGCTTCAGGTTCCAATGGTTTGGCATCTTCAGGTTGTTCCGTAGGTTTCTCATCTTCAGGCTTGGTCTCAGGTTCAGCAGATGTTTCTTCTTCAGGCTTAGACTCAGCTTCTGGCTTAGCTTCAGGTTCTTCCGGCGTAGATTCAGGTTTATCTAACTTACCGTCATCTACAGGAGATTCTTCAGGACTAGAAAGTGTTGTCGACTCTACTTTGTCTTCCGGAGTCTTTTCTGGCGTCTCACTTGATTCAGCAGCTACAGTAGAAGCTTCCAATGGAGTTGAAGTAGCTTCAGCTTCCTGGCTGACAGATGTCGTCGAAGTAGCTTCTACTGGACTTTCAGGTTCTTCAGTCATGCTTTCAATAGGTTTCTCTTCTTCAGGCTTAGGTTCTTCAGGTTTATCTTCTTTAGGAGCTTCAGTAGACTCTTCAACCGGAGCTTCCGTTACAGCAGGAGTAGTTGGTGATGTATCACTCGTAACTTCCTTCGAAGACACCGTAGTTTGGTCCATAACTTGCGTGATTTCTTTCTCAGGTTCAGTAGTCTCTGCACCAATCTTGGTGTCTATCGTAACTTCACCTTCCGTAGCAGAGGCATCAGTTGGTTTAGCTTCTTCAGGTTCTGGAATCGCGGTTTTGTTTATCGCTACAGGTATTATCAAACCTTCAGTAACTTCTGGAGCCGATTCAGTTGAGCTTTCAGTTACTGCTTCCTCAGGTTTGTCTGAAGATTCTTCAGGAGTACTCTCCGGTTTTGATTCTTCTTCAGGTTTCGTTTCTTCCTCAGGTTTCGCTTCTTCCTCAGGTTTCGCTTCTTCCTCAGGTTTCGCTTCTTCCTCAGGTTTCTTTTCTTCTTCAGGTTGCTCTGATGTCACAATCACAGGAACCTGTTGGTCAACCTCTGGCTTTTCTTCACTCTTTGCCGTCGTAGCTTCTGCAGTCACAGTAGTTTCTTCAGGTTTCTCAGTTGGAGTCGCTTCTTGAGCAGGTTTCTCACTGGATCCTACAGAAACTTCTTCCGTAGCTTTCGTCGTGTCAACAGACTCCGGTGAAGTTACTTCAAGCGTTTCCTCAGTAGAAGCCTTAGGGACTTCTGTTGAAGCTTCAATTAAACTTTCCGTAGCCTCAGAAGTTTCCATGATTCCTGCAGTCGGCGTTTCTTGCGATGACGCTTCAGTTTGAGCAGCTTCTGTAGATGATTTTTCCGTTTGAGTTTCTTCTGAAACAGTAGATGGCACTTCTTCAGCCGTCGAATCTTTGTGTTCATCCTTTGGCTCAGCTGAAGGCACTGCAGTAGTTTCTGCGTTCACTGACGGTGAAGTTTGATCCTGTATTTTGATTTCTGGAGTCTCAGTAGCCTCTGCTGGAGCAGAAGTTTCACTTAGATCAGATTCTGTTGGTTTTTCTTCTGGACTAGCTTCAGTTGACTGGCTTTCTGTAATCACTGGTGCGGCTGTTGTAGCTTCATCAGTACTTTCTGGTTCCTTGGTTTCAACTCCTACTGTAGTTTCATCTCCTGGTTTCTCAGTTAAGCCTGCAGTAACTTCTTCCGCAGTTTTCGTCGTGTCAACAGACTCCGGTGACGTCACTTCAAGCGTTTCCTCAGTAGAAGCCTTGGGCAATTCTGTTGAAGCTTCAATTGAACTTTCCGTAGCCTCAGAAGTTTCCTTGACTCCTTCAGTCGACGTCTCTTGCGATGGTGCTTCAGTTTGAGCAGGTTCTGTAGACGATTTCTTCGTCTGAGCTTCTTCTGAAACAGTAGATGGCATTTCTTCAGCCGCTGAATCTTTGTGTTCATCCTCAGGCTCAGCTGACGGTACCGCAGTAGTTTCTGCATTCACTGACGGTGAAGTTTGATCTTGTATTTTGATTTCTGGAGCCTCAGTAGCCTCTGCTGGAGCAGAAGTTTCACTTGGAGTCGATTCTGTTGGTTTCTCTTCTGGACTAGCTTCAGTTGACTGGCCTTCTGTAATCGCTGGAGAGGCTGTTGTAGCTTCATCAGTACTTTCCGGTTCCTTGGTTTCTACACTCGCAGTAGTCTCAACTGGGTTCTCAGTTTCAGCCGATGGAGCCATTGTTTCTTCATAAATTGGAGCTTCAGTGACTTCTTTAGGAGCTTCAGTTTTCTTTTCCGCAGGTGTTTCAGGAGTGACTGTTGTTTTCTCTTGAGCCGCTTCACTAGCAGTGGTCGATTCTACACTTGGAACGTCATTTGAAATTTCTGTTGGAGCTTCCGTAGAAGCTTCTTCCGTCTCATGAGCAGTAGGTGTCTGCGTAGCCTCTTGAGGGGCCTCCGTTGACTCTTTAGTGATTGGACTGGACTCTTGAGCAGTTGTAGTTTCCTCTACCGGCTTGGATGTAGCCTCTTCAGCGTGAGTTACAGCAGTAGCTTCAGTTTGTTCTTCCGGAGCCTTCGAAGATGGTTCCTCATGAGTCGTAGCTTGAGTTGGAGCCGATTCTTCGGATTGAGTGTTCTTAGTTGGTTCCTCTGGCGCTTGATCCGGAGTTGCCGTTACGGTTTCTTCTTTCTCCGTAGCTGCTGAGGTCACTTCTTCCACAGGAGCCTTGGTGGCTTCTTCTTCCTTGACACGAGTGTCAATAGTGGCAGTCGTCTCAGCCTCTGGTGCTGAAGTAGCAGAACTTTCCTTCACTAGAACCGGTGTTTCTTCACTGGGTTCAACTGGCTTCGCAGGTTCAGGAATTTCTTCTTTAGGAGCCTCCGCTTCTTCGGCAGTGACAACAACAGTCTCGCTATCAGTCGTTGCTTGAGTCGTAGATCCCTCTGGAGCTGGAGAAGAAGCTTCATCTGGTTTTATTCCTTCAGGAGCATTTGTGGAAGATTCAGAGTCTGGTTTTTGGTAAACTGGAGTGTGGTCTTCAGACATCTGGTTGTCCACCTGAAGGGTTTCTGTAGAAGCTTCGTTGGTGCAAGAGTACATCGGGCAGCAAGTATTCTCTGGAGAGTGGACAGGCATGCAGTTGGTCATGTGGCTAGGAGGAGGCGAACACTGCACTGATTCACATTGAACAATACTGCTAACGCACTTGCAGCTCAATTGGCAAGGGTTTACTGGTGGAATTGCTGAGTTGTTGTTAAAAGTTTGACCGTCAACAAGACAACTTCCTTCGCCGGGAATTCCTACAGGTCCTGAATCTTGGGTAGTTTTTTCTGGAGTTTCAGTCGATTCGCTTTCTGGACTAGTTTCAGTTGATGAAGCTTCCGTTGGTGCTTGAGTTGCTTCTTTTTCAGGAGATGAAGCTTCTGTTGGTCCTTGAGTTGCTTCGTTTTCAGGAGATGAAGCGTCGGTTGGTCCTTGAGTTGCATCTTTTTCAGGAGATGAAGCGTCGGTTGGTTTTTCCTCGGGTACTTGGACAGTTACTGGAATAGGCTCTTCTTGAGTCTTGTCAACTGGTGCAGGTTCCTCACTTGGTTCCGTTGGTGCTTGAGCTGATTCAGTTACAGTTTCGGGAGCAGGTGACTCAGAACTTTGAGGTTCTTCAGAAGGTTTTTCAACTTCAGGACTTAATGGAACTTCTGTCACTGCAGGTTCTGCTGATTCAGGAGCTTTAGTAGCTTCTGGCTCAGAAGATTCTGGAGCTGTTGTCGCTGCTGGTTCTTCAACTGATTCAGGAGACTTTGTGATTGCAGGTTCCTCTACAGATTCAGGAGTTTGAGTGCTTGATGGTTCTTCTACAGATTCGGGAGCTTTGGTTGAAGTAGGTTCAGCTGATTCTCGTTCTTTGGTAATAGTTTCTTCAGTTTCAGGAGCTGTAGTAGCTAATGGTTCCTCTGCTGATTCAGGAGCTGTGGTAGCTGATGGTTCCTCTACAGATTCAGGGGCTGGAGAAGCTGAGGGTTTTTCTTCAACTTCAGGAGCTGTAGTAGCTGATGGTTTCTCTTCAGCTTCAGGAGATTCAGTGGTCGATGGTTCTTCTGGAGATTCAGGAGCTGTAGTCGCCGATGGTTCCTCTATAGATTCAGGAGCTTTAGTAATTAATGATACTTCTACAGATTCAGGAGCTTCAGTTGCTGAAGGTTCCTTTTCAGCTTCAGGAGCTTCAGTAGCCGATGGTTCCTCTTCAGTTTCAGGAGATGTAGTGACCGACGGTTCCTTTTCAGCTTCAGGAGCTTCAGTAGCTGATGGTTCCTCCATAGATTCAGGAGCTTTAGTAGCTGATGGTTCCTCTACAGAATTAGGAGCTTTAGTAGCTGATGGTTCCTCTACAGATTCAGGGGCTTGAGTTGCTGAGGGTTCTTTTGCAGCTTCAGGAGCTGTCGTAGCTGATGGTTCTTCTTCAGCTGCAGGAGATTTAGTGACCGATGGTTCCTCTGCAGCTTCAGGAGTGCTAGTAGCCGCTGTTTCCTCAACAGTTTCAGGAGCTTTGGTCGCTGGAGACTCTTCACCTTCAGATGCTTCCGTTACTGCTGGTTTTTCACCTTCAGATTTTTCCGTCACTGCTGGTTCTTTACCTTCAGATTTTTCCGTCACTACTGGTTCTTCACTTTCAGGTGTTTCCGTCACTGCTGGTTTTTCACCTGCTTCAGTTGCCTTTGTTGCTGATTCAGGAGCATCAGTTATAGAATCTTCCGGTGATGTTGGAGCTTCAGTTACCGTAGATTCTGAAGATGTAGGTCCAGCTGATTCAGTAGCAGTTTCCGAAGTCACCACCGAAGGCTGAGTGCTTTCTTCGGCAGGTTCTTCAGGCTTGACTGAAGTTTCAGGTTCTTTTTCATCATCACCTGGTTGTTTTTCAGTAACAGAAACTGGAGTAGCTTCTTGTTCAGTTTCTTCAGCAGCTTTTTCGGTCACAGACGCCTCCGTAGGTTTAATTTCAGCTTCTTCTGACTTCTCCGTCGCCTCAGAACCCTCCGGTTTCACAGTACCTTCACTAGACGCTTCCAAAGGCGTAACTAATTCTTCCTGGGGACTAGACGTTTCAACCACTGGAGTAGTAGACTCTTCTGGAGCTTCCGAAGGTTTCATCTCAGGTTCTTCAGTCTTCTCATCAGAAGTAGCCTCAGTAGTTCCATGCTCCACCGGAGCTTCAGTCTCCTGGTCACCTTTCGTCGGTTTCTCAGTAATCTGATCACTTTCAGTGACTTGATCATCCTTTGGAGCTTCTGTCGGCACTGGTTCTCCTACAATCGGTCCCTCAGTCTTCTGCTCATCTTTATCACCCTCAATCGACTGTTCCGTTGGTTTCAATCCTTCCTCCTCAGCAACTGGTTTCTCTTCTTTCTCCTTCTCCTCCTCCTCCTCAGGCCTCTCAGTAGTCGGGGTCTCAATTTCTTCTGGCTTATCTTCCGGCATCGAAGCAGCAGTAGATCCATCACCCTCTGGCTTCTCTCCGTCACCTACCAAAACCGGTGACTCCGTAGCCTGCTCACTGGGTTCCTCAGAAGCTTGGGTCTGACTCTCAACTGGACTTTCCGGTTTTTCAGTAGCTTGCTCCTCTGTTTTTTCCGTAACCTCGCCTTCCGGCAAACTGGAACTGGTTTCAGCTGGCTTGGAAGTTGTAAACTCCTCCATAGACACCTCTGAGCTGCTCTCTTCTTCCTCCGAAGAATCAACCGGTTTTCCTTCCTTAGTCGGCATTTCCGAGCTTGTTTCTTCTGAACTCTGCTCCCCACTGACCTCTAAACCCTTCGTGGGTGCTTCTTCTTCAATTTTATCCTCCGTAGATCCAACAGTAGTCGCTTCTTCCTCAGGTTTTCCACTTTCTGCTTTCTTCTCCGAGCTTTCCGTCACTTCCATTCCTTGCTCGTCACTCTTTTCAGTCACCACCGGCTTTTCCGTGACCTGGCTATCAGATTCAGTGCCCAATCCTTCAACAATTGGACCTTCAGTCATCTGCAAGTTATCTTCCGTCACAGCGTCCTTGTCTTCAGCCTTTGTAACTGGTCTCCTGGTTGAGACATCAATTCCAGGAGGTCCCTGGGTCGGAATCTCTTCATCCAAGACTGCTGGGCTGAAAGCTGGTGATTCTGTCTGCTGTCCTTCAGGCTTTTCTTCAGCTTGACCTTCAGTAACCTTCAAACCTTCCTCCGTTACCTTTGTAGCTTCTGAAGTATCCTCCGGCTTGGTCTCAACTATAGGAATCTCATTATCTTCCCCAACCTTAGTAACCACTTCAGGTTTGTCCTCTACAGTTTTATCCTCAGGCGTAGTAGCAATCTCCCCTGGCGATACAGTAGTCTCTGGCTTATCAGCTTCAGTCGGGATCTGATCTTCACTGCGAGCAGGAACTCCAGTCATTGGTTTATCAGTAGAACTCATAACGTCTGGTTTTTCAGTCGCTTCCGTAACTTGATCCGCATGCGTGACTCCTGAAGTTTCTTTAGGCACTTCATTGCTTTCCGGTAAGGTAGTCTCCGTAGATTCCATTACTGTTGATAAATTATCATCCGTCACCCCGGTGACCTTATCATCTTGCGGGATCGCGTTGTTAGCTCCTGGGAATCCTTCTACTTTTTGCGTCTGCTGATCATCCACCGGTAAGGTAGCTTGCGTGGGAAGTATCGCGTTCTCATCCAGTCCGGTCTGTTGGTCCTGTGTTGCTGGTTCGTCTTCTGCAAAATAAAACCAAATTAGAGGAAGGAAAAGAAAAAAAGCTAGTATTTGATCGACTAGAGTATTCCAAGCAGCTCCATAAAAGTAATGGATGACAATGATACTCAAGACTAGATTGGATAGAAATGGATGCGGTAAATGGAGAGTATAAATTGATTTTCTTACCGCACTCGTACGTGGTCGGGCAACATTGGCCTTCTGGTGGTGGCAAAGCGGTGCAATTCTTTCCGTGTGTCTTCATCGGAGTACCGCAATCCTGAACAACACACGCAATATCACGATGGAAACAGTAGCAGTGTTGGCAAGGTTGTTTTGAATAAATCAGCTGTCCGTCTTGGTAGTATTTGCCCTCGTGATAACACTGTGGTGAGTCGACACTTGGAGATGGAGTTGTTGTCATGATCAGTCCAGTTGGCTGGGTCGTTGTCAGCAAGTTGTCTTCGTAGTCTGGAAAAATTAAATTCAGTGTTAATAATGATGATTTAAGAGAATCAGTAATTGGTTGGTCATTCAGAACTTACCACAATTGTATTTGACTGGACAACATATTCCTGGATGATAAACAGGTTTGCAGCCTACGACTTTAAGCGTGCATTCCTGCATGAGACAGGTCGTACGATTCCGGATGCAGTAGCACAACTCGCAAGGATTATTAGGATTGCCGGGCATTTGGACACCGTCTGCGTAAAATTTATTATCGACAGTACAACCATAGTTGTCGGGGAATCCAAGCTCCGTCGAGGTTTGCTGATCGATTTCCGATGTAGGTGCGCTGGTTGTCGATGTTAGCAAGTGTACTGGGACTTCTGGGCAGGTTATCGCCGGGCAACATTGGTCTGGTCGCTTTTCAACTTTGCAATCCTGGCCAATTGCTTTTGTGAATGGACAGACTCGCAGATAACACATCAGCATTCGATTGTGACATGTACAATTCAAACATGGCTCGTTTGTGATTATCCTTTCTCCTTCGTCGTAGTATTGGAAATTGTAGTAACACCCTGTATCTGGAATTCGAATGACGTTGTTTATTATCAATGATTTAGTGATGGTACTTCACAGTTTGAGTTTGGAATCAATTTTAATGACTTAAAACGACAGTATAAATTGAAACTAACAAAAACTGAACCCTAAATAAGACATAAAAGGTAACTTACTTTCATATTCTGCGACTTGCGTAGTATCCTCATCGTATACCGGGGCTGGAACAAAATAAAGACTGTTTTTAAAAAGTTATTACGGCAAGTGTTGATATGAAGGAGCGAAGAATAAAGAGCCCCTGGAGTTCCATTATAATCGCGCAATTACTCAGTGATTTTTCAGTGAGAAACAATATATCCTTACGGACAAAAGAGGGTCGGATTTTGCATAAACAGAAAGCTTTCTGCTAATAGCGCTTTTTAATTATTTCGAGTATAAAGTCTTGGAATGAGTTATAAATTTCCCACGCGTGATGCGCTTACAAACACTGGAAAAAGATTTTCCACGAAGTCCACGAGGAGCTTGATCGATCAGAATATTTATATGCTTGCTATCGATAAATAAGGTTTAGATGCGTGTCTCGTCTGAGAATTCCATGGCAAGCTAATGCGTGGCATACGTCTTGTGTCTGATCGTCTGCATTAGACATTAACGTCGATTATTATAAATAAAATAAAAAAACTTACATGGTAATTCCAGACGCAAACAACGCTACAAATAAATAACAAGTCTGAGAATGTTATATGTTGTTTCCGGCAAATCGAATTGTTAGAAATATCTCCGTCGCCATTTGCAATTTATATTTGTACTTTATTCCGCAATCAATGCAAGATGGAGAGAATTAAGTACCACGTATGTCTTGTGTGATATATCTTATTTGTATTGCCGTTCCATACATTTCTTCTTTGTCTGTCTTTGTTCGTCTATGACTGGAGTTCATCACGTATTACGTATAACGACACTCGGCACGTACTACGTATTATTACACGTTTAACGCGCTATGAACACCACGGATAATTACCGTATTATTCATCCTTATTTATTATCTAATGTAATCAATTATGGATTTAATATTCTGTGCTTAGGATGATTGATTCGCCACTTTTAATTAACCTCTATTGCTTATAACTTACAAGTTATTATTTTAGATTTAACTTTCCTTTTTAATGACTCAATGTCGTATAATTTAATGTATCTTTATAATAAATTATCTTCATTTCATCCATTTTATCGTTTAACAACAGCAAATTGAAAAAAAATTTAGATTTACTAATTTTTGGTATTTTAACAGCAAATTTTTTATTGAATTCATTAAAATTTTTGTTAGATATAGTGAAATTTAGATTTTACTAACTTTATAGATTGCGATTCCGTCGAAAAATTCTAAAAATTCCGTACATCAAATTTTTGGCGTGGCTAAAATGGTTAAGCGTTTGTTTTTAGTCCAGCCAGAGCAGGGATCGATTCTCGACTTGGGTTTTTTTTTTTTTATTAATGGGGAAAAGTAAGAATGATTGATACCACGATATTATAAAATTTTTAGAAAGAAAACGAATGAAAAAGTTGTCAATAACTGGATTGTAAAGCTAGAAAAAAATATTACAAAACAATTGGATTACGGTATTTACGAGTTACGCGTGACGACGTTTGATCCTCTGAATAAATACATCAAGCAATATAACGGATCGGTTGTTGACCCAATCAAAAAAACTCTAAAAAACTCCAAGAAGAAGCTATAAGGAGAATAGAAGTTAATGCAGGATTTAGGAATGGGTTTACTCATTCCGATTACTGATAATGCGGGTTAACAACTAATTTTTACTCCCGTAATTCTATTCCCATGATAATAAAGAGCTTGAGTTAAAGTAACTTATCGGAAAATAAACAAATTTTATTTAACGATTTGGTGCGTTATCTTCTGCTTGGTAATTACTGAGGCTCCACTGAACCCGGAAACTTCTCATATGCAATCGAATTCTCGGGCTTATTATACCCAGACCGGTTGTTATTTTAATCGTTACCAGTTTTATTTTTTAAAAATAACTATCTTTTACATAAGTAGCTTTTTTTTAGTTTAATTTATGGGAGGTATTATTTACGGTTAAATATTCGGGTATTCAATATTTTTTATCGCTTGCAAAAAATTAATTTATTTATCAATTCATCTTGGTAAGCAATTATAATTAAAAAAAAAAAAAAAATTAACTTGACGGAGAATCGAACCCTGTTCTTTCTGGACTAAAGATAAGCGCCTGACCAACTTAGCCAGTCCAAAAATTTGACCTACGGAATTTTAAAATTTTTTCGCCGGAATCGCAATCAGGGAAGTTAGTACAATCTAAAATCCACCTAATCAACCACAATTTAATGATTATTGATGAGCTATTCGGGTTTTTTCATCAGATACAAAAACTCGAACTTAAACTTGAACTAACAAAACCGAATAATTACAATAAACAAAAAAACGGGTGGTAAAACTCGTCTGTAATGGGATTCATAAAATAACAGTACCCATTAGCTTTGACCTCGCGAAATTCTCTCACGAATAATTAATTCACTTGTACATGTAAGCACCCATGTAAGCATGCTGCGGGCTATCTCTATCTCAATATCTCCACATACATGCATAACCTCCACATATATCTACACGAATACATAAATGTAAATAAGAAAAAAGTGTGACTTATATAATATGTCAAAGGAGATCTTGATCTCGGTTCTCTCGCGAATTACTGGAGATGTTACTAGTACTATCGCTTAATCCGTGTCACGCTGACGTTGCACCCACACGGGTCCGTTACATCTTACATCCGAGTGGAGTCTACTCTGACCGTGACTGACCTCAGCAAGTAGCCTGCAGAAACAGAATCAACACACATACGGGAAGACATAACCTATACGGGGCAATGCTCAATAGATCTCTTCTTTATGTATATATACATTATACATATATACATATGGATCTAACAGGGTATACCTTGGTTACTATTTACTAGTACACAAACAATATGGCCTCCTTAAAATCTTCTCACGGCCCTGATCGGCGCCACTATCTAATCAGCTGATTAACCTTCGATAACTCCGAATCGACGGAGTAGGTCAACATTTGGCTTATTTATTAACTTATGGTAACAATGCCGATAGATGCTCGCTATAAACCTATTTTAAGGTTAATGGATAACTAAAAGGTGAGTGTGATTTGTTTTGTAGGTTAATTTTTTTACTTTCTTCTTTATTCAAAGAAGAAATGTTCAAAATCAAAATAATTTAAAGTGGTAATCTATATTATTAAGAGAATAAGAAAAATTTTATTTCTAGGATAGGTAGTCATATGATAAAATCGGTTTTTTTTTTTTATTATGATAAGTATTTAGGCTGTATTCGAAAATGCTCTATCTCTAGATACAAAATTAAGAAATGACCTTGTATCTTGTAAAATATTGACATTTTTTAAGATATAAGCTCATCCTGATGTTACACTCATTGAGACCTTTCATTTGAGTACCCACATCAATTTTTCATATATTTTATATATTTATATATATTATATATATGTATTTATGAAAAAGATATCAAAAATGCATGTGGGTACTCAAATAAAAGCTCTTGATGAGTTTAACATCGGAATGAGCTTGTATCTTTAAAAACGTCAATATTTAACAAAAGATATTATTTAGTACAGTCACATAATGTTCAGAATTAGTGTAAAAAATAATTGATAATTTGATTTTGTAAATTGAAGAATAATTGAACGTAATAAGATAGGTGCTTAAAAAATTATTATAGTTTTAAAAACCAAAAATGTAAGTTTAAAAAATAACAAAAATTTGAGGTTAATAAAGAAGAAATATCACAAAAAGAATCACTAGTTAGGTTATAAAGCCTTGTATTAATTAAAAAAGAGTAAAAGATGACTAAAATTGATGAAAAGCATATATGAAGGAGAAGAGAAGAGTAGTAAAAGTAAAAAATTTATGAAGAAGTCTCGGGCTAAATAAGTCTCTAGCATAGGGTCCTTAACCTTGCCGAAGAAGAAAACCGGCTGGACTTTTACGGAAGTTACAGGGTTCTTAGCCCGTTGCTCTGTTGGTTGGCAACCTATGTACCTATCTACTATGTACCGAGAGCATAAAGACGAGAAGGAGTTTGTTCGGGAGTCGGGAGGAGTCTAGCCAGGATCCATACAACTGCCCAGTATAGCATTATAGTTGAATAGTGGTATAGTAGTAATGGTCTTTAGTTATAGTACAGAATAATAACAAACGTATTTGTTGTTTGTAGATTCTCTGCTGTTACTGGAGCTGTAGTGCTAGTGGCTATATGTAAGTTACGTACGAATATAACGCAAAAGCCGATGAATAAAAGACCAAGAAGAAGATGAAGAGAGAATAATGCTCGTAGTGAGCACCCATTATGGCAGCTAAACACCGGGATTCCAGATCTACCGTCAGTTAGTCCCGAGTATAGAGTTCAGGTACTCTACCCAGCATTCAGGAAGCTCGAGATATTGCACGCAATCGCTTTTTTAGGATTTGTATCATCCCTAATGCTAACTACTATTTTTCTTCTTCTTAGAGTTTTTTTTATCTCTTTTAATTCAATTGATTTTAGGTTCAATAATTGTGATTACACAGAAAAAAAGATTTATTTGTGCCAAATATGTGATATTTGGATATAGCCAAATGAATATATATTTAAATGAATTAATTCTAAAAAATTTAAAGCAACTTACCAGAATAAGTGTAGTGAATTAGGATTATAAAAAGCCACAGAATAAGTCCGGGCCGATAGCGCCCGGTATTCTCCCACACCATCCTGAAAAAGAAGAAAAAAATGAAAATTAATTAATTTAATTAAATGATTTAGGTGTTTCTTAGTTAAGGAGAAGAAAATAATGTCGGAGAAAATATTTTAAGTAAGGGGTAATCATATTCCGCGTTCCACGGTAATGGTGAACGAATGGTACCTCTACGTACTACTCTTAGCCTCCAGCCTCCAGGCTACTAACGGCATACGCTTACTTGTGTGCCATCAAAACGTCCACGCATTATACATGTGAGTAAATATATAAGTAAATAACATAAAACATATAATAACAAATGAAAATAAATTGTAAGGAGAGTTTTTTTTGGTGTTTAAATACACTTTTGTCTCTGAGATTTTCTTAAAGGTATTTTCCAACAATGCCGAGGGATTTTAACGCGCAAGTACTAATTGATTGGTGAAGTAAGGGGCTATTGTATATATATATATATATAATATATATATATATATGTATTTATATACAGTACACAACTCTGCTATGTGAATTCCCGTTCACGTTCAAGTTCCCGTGGGTTGACGTGCTGACTCTAATTGATTGACCGCAGATGTTTCTTCAATCTTAAATCCTGAGAGTCTTGTTTGCAATTTGCAAGAAAGGGTAATTTAATTATTCAATTTAATTTAATTTAATTATTATTTTCAGATTGATGCTCAACAGAAAGTAATTATGGGAATTAGCCAGCGATAGGCAGCAAGAGCAAAAGTGAATTTAAGCTTCCGTGATTAATTAATTTAAACTTCGGTGTTAAATTAGTATGAGGTAATATATATGGTTAATGTGTGAGTTTTTACAACTAAGGTTAACTATTAGTACGGAGGTAAGCGACCTCTCTATCGGCGAGATTCCCGCAAAAAATTATAACCTTCAAAATATTAATTAATTTATTTATTTATTTGCTTCGATCCTGGAGTAAACTCCTTGGGACCATATTTCTTTAATACTAATTTTGAACAATGTTATTAGCTACTCTAATTTAATTTTATAATTTTATAATTTATAACACAGAGTACATAGGGACATTAATCATCGCTCATACATATTATTAACATATCAACGTATCACATCTAAGCATCAAGTCCAAAATTAAACTCCTGATTTAATAGATATATAAAGTAAATTTTTTTTTAAATTCGTCAAGTGTCCCTGGTAGAAATGAAATCGAGTTTTTGGTGGCCAGTAACTAGCCAGTTCAACTAGACTTTAACCAGAAACTAGCCAGTATAATATCGAGTTTCTGTCAAGTAACTGGCCAGTTTCACAACAGATCCAATAAAACATGGCGGCTTTGATAAAACTGTCAATTTTGAATTGAAAGTTGTGAGGTTATCAGTATTCTCAGTCGATCAGAAATATCAAAAGATTTGTTTTAAAAAATTAACAATTAAATCTAACGTAAATCAACGATTGATAAAAAATCAATAAATAAATAAATATTAATTTATATAGCAATGTTTACGACTTAGTTGTAGGTGGCGCGATTTCTAGTTCTTACTCGCTATCACTGGCCAGTTACTGGTTTAAATCCAGTGAAAACTTTATTATTTCTACTAGAATAGTGTAAGATTTAGACAATAGGATCTAAACAAGACCAATTATGGTTACACACTAAGTCACTAAATTAAGATAGATTTGAATTGAACTTGCAAACTTAATAGATTAGATTACATGTATTGCAAATTTACAAAAGGCGTCCAATCGATATTAGAAATCAATTGATAATAAACATTCAATTTTCTTTTTGTATTAGTAATTTAATTAGAAACTATTTTAATGATATTTGATCACTTAAAGGCGAGTTAATGCGCTCTATCATTAACACTAACCGGCCGATAGAGAGGTTATAAACCTTAGGTACTAATGGAGTGTATTAGTGGTTTGTGGGCGGTCGAAATTTTTGTTCGAACCTTTAAGGCTCCGATTACTCTCAAAGTTTCTTGTATTTTTTATTTGACTTTTTAATATTGTTGCACGCTCGAGAGCCGGAATAGGCGAAGGGTGCTCAGCAACAGGTCGCGGTTAAATGTAATGCAAAGGCGGCTATTTATAGAATCGCGTGTACAATCACGGTGGATGTTACGCGATAGGACGAGTAGAAGAAAAAAAACATCTATCTTGGGTATGTGCTGAGCTTTTATAATTCTCAGAGTCGAGGATCGTCTAGCAAAAAAGGTTTTACCGTTAATTTTGTTTTATTGACTATCGAGGAAATTATTTTACGGGCTTAATAATTCATAGCAGAAAATGCAGATTAATAATCTAGTCTAAAACTTTATTTTTTTTTTTAAACTGCTAAGCTTTAACACTATTTATAATTTTTAAATAATAATTATAGTTTTATTCTTCAGATTCAGATTCACACTTGAATAATTAAAAGAATAACAGCCTCGTATTTATTACAAAGGTTAAAGTACTATCGTAAATTACCAAGACGCGAGCCTCATTCTCGAATAATTATTCTTATAAATAGTTTCTAATCAAACTCTTTTTTTTTGATAAAGAAAAAAATGACTGTAAACGTCCTCGAGAAGATTTTATCTTAAAGTGATGTCATTCTTATCTACAAGATCAATTAAATCTTAACACATTAATGCGGTTTGTCAAAAGCTTAATATTTATATTTATTTACAGTCAAGTTAAGTGCATTACCCATAAATATCTTTGTATATATATACATTTTACCGAGATTTATCGTTTATATTTTATAATAAAAAATATTAACCGTGTAACTTTAATGTAGACGATGATCTTGAGCGTGAATATTCACGCAACGTTCCATCTCATTCAAACAAATTACGTAAGTCTCATCCATGACTTACTTACACTCTCATAATCAACGCGTTTATCTACAACACTTAATCTTTTCACTCCTCCGTAAGCATTACATATTACACACACACACTCACATATAACTAAATAATTTCCCATACAGCATTACTAATTTTCCTCTATTGTTTTTTTCTCTTCCTTTTTAATTCATACCAAGATTAAATCTCTATTTTTTTTAATAACTTGTTTTTAAATTTCCTACTACACTTTTTAATTGCAAATCAAATCAAGCTAAGTCCGAAAAAAATAAAATTAGCAAATTTTAATCTTCAAGGAGTTAAAAAAAAATCTGAAATAAATTTAATTTTGAATAAAATAATATTTGTTTAAATAAAATAGTTCTTACAGAGGATTATTACGAGTAAATATTTGCCGATAAACTTTTTTTATTTGCTTCAAGAGGGGTTTAAATTTCGAAAGTCATTTTAAAATAATGAAACAAGGTGATTTGACAATTCTGAAGCTAACTCAAGCTGATTGAAACAAACGGACTCGAGAATAGTCGGTATAATAAAAATTTATAGATTTTATTATGTTAACTAAAACTAATAGTTTATTATGTGCGTGAATAGACGATGGGGTTTATTCAACAATAAGAAAGACGTATGACCGTTAACTTTGCTCTTCGGATAATAATTATTGAGAGCCGCACCTGCTTTACATAACGGATTACATCCGTTGTGAGAGTTATGGACCGTGTTAAGTATCATCTTATATTTACATTTTTTCCCTTTTTATTCTTACCTTCTTTCATGCCTTTTTAAAACTTTCAATTTCTATAATTTATTTAATACTGACCATACTAAACCCTGCTTCTATAAAAATTATATTTTTAACTTGATTCAAATAGTAAGGTAAAGGCTCCAATTATAGTGCCAGGGATCCAATTATTGACACCCGATTTTATTAAATCTTATTTAATTATCTACAATATTAATAACAATTGTTCATTTTTTTATACAATCACTATTTTAAGAATTGAAAAAAAATTAATAGTTGAAAAAAATATAGATGATCTATATTATTAAGAGAAAATGCTCGATTTCTAGATACAGAATTGAGAAATGACCTATCTTGTGATATATTGACATTTTTAAAGATATAAGCTCATCCTGATGTTACACTCATCAAGACCTTTCATTTGAGTTACCACATGCATTTTCATAAATTTTTCATATATACATATATAAAATATATGAAAAATTGATGTGGGTACTCAAATGAAAGCTCTTGATGAATGTAACATCTTAATGAGCTTATATATATTTAAAAAAGTCAATACTTAAGAAAGTACAGTGCAATTTAACAAAAATAATTATTTAGTTAAAATTTTAATGTTTTAATTTTTTCTGACAAAAGTTGTCAAATTATAAATAATAATGTATGAGATATAATTAAAAGGCATAATTTGGCAAAATAATTAAGCCAACGGTGTTATGATTAAAGATTACGGGATTATAAATATGAGAATATAAAAAAATAAAGATAAATAACCCCCAGGTGAATGAACCTGGATTTAATTGTTGCGCAGTTGATGTTTTTTTAATTACCGCCCACCTGGATCTGGAGAGTTTTAGAGTTTGAGATCGGGTATGAGTATGAGGTCAAGGAACGTGATTGAATGGGAATATTGCTGACCAGTACACACATATACATACACTAACTCAAGATGGTTTGTGACCGAGGGACAAGTACAACTTGAGAAGTTGTTAGTTGTTATTGTTATTGTTGGTAGACGTCGATGAATCCAGGAAGCATTTGCTGATTTCACCTTACGCAGCTCCAAAGAATATACACAGTATATATGTCTTAAGCCTCAAGTCCAAGTGTTTGTTTAAATCATTCTTTTTACTCTTAACCATTTAGCAGTGTGCCGGGACTATTTACAGTACGGTCGCAATGCCCGGAAAGAAAACTGGTCCGTTAAAGACTACCCGTCTCCAGACACGTATAGACACGCTGTCAGGACAAACGGACCGTTGTCTTTTCTGTGTAAGAGTGTTTTTCCCTTTTCAAATCACCTTCTATATACAGAGCACAGCTTGAATTAATTTATTTGTTTCGTCAGCAAACTTTCTTTGGGAATAACTATTAATTCCTCCAGGCTTGGCAACTATGTACTCATCATCATAAATGAACTATTTGTATGAATGATATGGAACC